GGCGAGTTCACAGGCGGGTCCGGAGAAGTGTCTATTCGGTTGGATTATGGTGTTCCTGCGCAGTCAGCGGCTTAAAGTTGTGTGACTGAGTAAAGTTACTGCATGGTGATAATGGACGGTGGCTCCAGATCCAGTGCTTATTTAAGAGTAAAATTTGTGGCCTACGGGCCACGGCTGCTCCCCCCAAAGAATGTACCTGAGACGCGGCATCCCTCAATCCCTGCGGTAAGGATCACTTTCTGTGGCAGGGCCGAGGCTGTTTAACGTCCAACCAAAGGATCTAAAAGAGGGGTAGTTCACCCTGGAGACCTTCAAGAGACGACTGGACCTGTTCTTGGGCACAATCTCAGATCGACCTCCCCTGCAACACTACCAGCGGCGAGAAGCAAGCAACAGCATCGTGCATCAGGTGGCCCAAATGAGGGCGGATGAGCGATAATCAGAGGCGGCGATCCATCGTGGCCTGGACTGCTACGTCCGACACAATTATCAAGTTACCAAGTTTACCAAGGAATGTAACTGAGATGGGCATGCTCTACAAGGAATGTAACTGTGATGCGGCATGCACTACAAAGAATGTAACTGTGATGCGGCATGCACTACAAGGAATGTACCTAAGAAATGGCATGCACCACAAGGAATGTAACTGTGATGCAGACTGCATTACAAGGAATGTACCTGCATGAGATGCGGCGAGCTTACCTTCAAGTCTGAAAATAAGCGTGGACAGTTCGTGACCATCCTCATTCCTCTCCGACCTTCGTACGCAGCGTGTGTGGCTTCCAGTTAACTGTGTTAGAGACCGACTGCTTTTAGTCAAATGGCCCTGGCTGAACGTCCCCAATCAGACGAGATTAATTTAATTCAGATGCACTATACGCTTCTTGATTTCTACTTGCAGACTAGCTTATAGATGTAAAATATAATTCTATGTGATCTTTTTGCAGTGAAAATGTTCTCAATAAGAAATAATTTTCGCTAATTAAGGTAAAACGCCGTAAGCTAAATTGAAACTACTTCAAACAGGATGGACCTGATACATTTTCAATTTGAGTCAAAGGTCTTCAGGATTTAGAGGCGTCTAAAATTTATTTTTAAGTTAGTCAAGTGGAACAACATTTCATAAAAATGTTGCCTGCGTTATTCACTTCTCCATTTTATTTATCTTCCTTCATTCTAACTCTTGGCGTCGTATTTAAGGGGACCGACCGGGCTAAAATTTTCAATTTTGGCGTTTTTCGGTTTTTGTGCTCATATGAAAGCTGCAATTCTGCTCTTTCCAATGGTACCACTGCCATCGCTGTACGCCAATATTTACGTTAATGACGTCTCTTTAAAGGGAAGCGGGTGGGAGAGTTCTTTAAGAAATTAGATATAAATTAATTAGCTGCTGAAATCTTTGAATATAGTTTCTACTTGAGTTGTGCAAAAAATTCATAGGAGCAAAATGTTTTTTATTTTACATTTTACGTATGTATGTGAAGTTTCATGACAATCGGATAATAACTGTAGAAGTTTTCCGTATGCCCGGTCGGTCCCCTTAATTGAAAATTAAGGATGCTCCAACCGCGCAGTGACACATTACAGTATATACGACAATATTTTAGGAGCGTGTTCACCGTTCGTAAAAAGCGTCTGGCTACGCAAATCGCTTTGGTCTTCATTATAGGTCGTGCATTTATGCAGGTTACTAAGTGCGAAAAAACCTGGAATTGGGAACTTTTCTCCAGTCAATCTGCCACCTCGAAAGAGCCTTGATTAGCTCTCAAGTGTCAATATATGACCGCTTCTTGGGGCCATTGATGTTGAGCATCCTCGAGGAAAGCGACCCGTCGCTCCTGCATGACACGGGCATGCCATCTCCTAGAGTTTGATCTGCAGCGGTAGAGAAAAAGTCAAGTAGGCTAATTTTTTGGAAGCTTGAGAGCCATAATAACGGAATTAGGAGTGAAAAAAAAATTCCCGATGATTTCGTGAGGTAAACAAGGAAATTCATGCATTGCATTACCACAGACAAGATGAAGATGAGCATTTCAAAGGCGTTACGGAGACGAAACGACCGTGTCATAGTGTTTCATGCCGGCAGTAAACACTTGCCGCTAATTGTAGGACTTGACAGTTTTCACTATAGTAGATATGTCGTCTCTGACACACAGAAAATTGATGCGCACAATGATCGATTCGACATTTGTTTATGGCCTTTTTTGAAAATGACGGTAAAGAACAGTCGGTTTTACCATGTGTGTGACAGCGAGTTCTGCGTCCGAATTTGGCTAAGCCATTAAAGGCGTTATCCTCAATTTATTATTGCAGTAGACTTATCCACTTTTATGAGTTTTTTGACACATGTCTTTGGTACAGTACTATTATACTGCGATTATGATGAGCAACTCATCATTGCAGGCAAAATTCTCTCTAGTTTTTCATTTTCCTGAAGTGCAATTTCGTGCTACTTTTGGCTTATGGCATTTAATTTCAGGCAGGGAATGCCAGTGCATCTCAAAACTTTGCCGGCCATCCCGAGCCTGAGCGTTCACAATCAAGCGAGATCTTGCCATGGTCCTTGGGGGCTTTTTTAAAGAAAAATTGTTCGTTAATCGTTGGGACTATACTACATTTTATTCATTTTTAATAGGTGTTAGTACTTGATAATGTTATTTAATTAAAAAACAGTTTTAATCAATGCAAAGCTTAATAACCTGATAACCTACCGACGTCGGATTTTCAAAAGTAACGACCGTTCTTAACAATTCTTGACACCTATCAGCGAATAATGGTCGTAAATTTTAGATAAGTATTTTCGGTTTAGATCAAAATGATAGAATTTAATTAGTAAAATTACTACATGTTACCGTACAAAAATATACTAAAAACAATAAGTTCAATCAGAATTACGGAATCATTAGTTGTATTACGTGTCAAACGCATTACTTGCAAAAATTTCGGCGAGGCAAATGCAGGAAATTGCCAAAGTTCGAAACATCTCGGATTCATTGTAACTTCCTGCCACATTTCAATTTACAACTCATATGGACTGACAATGAGCAAATTACTTGATCAATGGAGCAAAATATCGGAATGCGCCGATAAACCACACAATAAATTAATTATTCAGTCATTTTAACAGCACTTAGGTGCCCGGAGTATGTCGTGCATTGTTATCAAAAAATAAAATTTTTCACCGTTCAAGATATTTTACTTTTGACCGCTAAATTTAGAGCACATAATTTCTGGTTCATACCTGGAGACAAAGCAAATAAAGTAGATGAAATATGACAGAAAATGCTGGTGTGGAGATTAAATGCGATACGAATGAAAGATATCCGAGTGAAAGCGAAATGGCTGTAATTGGCGGTAGTCGGTATAAGTATTGCGTAAAGATGACATGACAAAATTCAGACAAGAACGCATTAAGAATTTGCTTTTGATTTGAAGCGAATAACACAGCAAAACAATATAAACCCTACACGAAGGTGATGTATTTTATTAAATTGCATAGGTTTATTCGGTGCTTTAAGCCTAGCAAGGTAAGGGAGCATAAAGCAAAACGGAAGGCGCATGTTTCGAGCAGTTCGTAATGCGGGCTAGTGCCGCAGATGTGCCCGTACAGCAGAAGTATTTATACCGCGCACAGCGGCGATGCGAACTTCACTTTGTTGCCTCCGCCGAAGCATCCTTACTTCTTACTTGCTCTCAATGAATAATTTTATTAGCGCATTTTATCATTTATGGGAAAAATGCCCTATTGTGCTCGTTATGTCAGTCCGTCCGTCTGTCTGTCTGTCTGTCTGTCCGTCCGTGACTTCACGTTTTCGTCGACGAGAAAATGCGCTCTCTGTCACTCACTGCAGTGAGTACTGAGTTATATTTTTTATACATTACCGCTTGCTCACTGTTTTTCCAGGTCCATATTTATCATGCATGCGCGCCTGCGTGTGTACTTTCCTTTGAAATTTGTACGTTTACATACCCGCACTTACTTGATTTTCGTGATGCCTCTAGTTGCTGTACACTGCATGGTCACTGGTTCCGTCAATCATTGGGTCCTTCAAACATTTGGAATTTTATTATCACACGCAATCTTGCATGTTTTTCTCTTCCCTTTTTATTTCATGTGCGATGAACCATTTCGCCATTTCCTCCCAAATTACTGAACCGACTGTCAAACCATCTTCTCAGTGCTTAAATTATTTATATTAGGACATGAATTACAGCAAAGGTTGTTTTCATAAATCTGAAGAGCTTATGGTTTTGTACTAAAATGTAATTAGATTCCTATAGCATACCATAATAACGGTACTTCAGTGTATACTGCAAAATACATATATAGATGTATCCGGGCTGCCATTTGGGCCTATTTTCCTGCAAAATTCACAGATTTTTGTTTAATTTGTTTGGCTGGCAAGAATTTATGCGATCGATGCATACTCATTGTATTTTTTCTTGTTATTAAAAAGGGAAAATTTAATTTTTTCTCCACCGTTTATAAATTTACTGGTACATGTTGAATTTTAAGACTCCTCGCGCCTTTTTTTGTCCGAAAATTTGGCTGTTTTTTGCCACCATCTGGCCAACCAGATTAATATACGTTTAATAGCGAGCAGTTGTGACAGAAATTATTTTGTACTGTATGGAGCTGTTGCAGGATTAAAGGCAGTAGCTATCAAAGCTGTAACAGCATTACGACCAAAGCTTGTGCAGGCGTAACAGAAGTAGCGGCAGTAGTGTCAGCCATACAGGTACTGTTGCTCTTTTAATAGCGCCGCACACATTTGCTTGCTTACCTGGCTGCGATGTGAGTTTTTTCCGTGATTCAGAGAGAGCGCGACGACCGAGTGAGTGTGACCAACTACAGAGAACGAGCAGCCAATGGTGACGAGCTGCTGGTCAATAGAAAAGAACGAGTGGCCAATAGGAGGCCACGTTGGTCAATCTTAGGGACAATCTTAGCTAAGGGAGGGTCAGCGAGGGTCGGCGTGGCGTCTATATAAACGTGGCGTGAGAGGTGCCCACTGCTGTCGTGTATATCTGCGCTCGTCGTGAGCTACTTGGGTCCGGAAGTGTGACGAGATATCCGTAAATCAGGTGAGTTACTCAGCAGGTGTTTCAGTGTGAAGTGAACATTTAAGGTCTCTGTGAAAGTGTGAGGGGATTTTTTTTATCAGGTGAGTGGATCAACAGTGGGGCAGAACGACTTTGATGGTGAAGTGACAATACCAGTCAAATGAGACTCGAAGTTACAGTGAAACTGTGCATAGAAGTGTTATACCAGCCATTGCGCGCAGAATTTTGAGAATAATACGAACAAACTTTTCGTTTCCTCGTCACATTAACTCCGAAAAGAATTACTTCTTTTTCTAATCGAGTTAGGAGGAATACCGCAAACAACGTACGGATGCAAATGACCTCTTACGTCTAAATAAACAAATAATTTTATTAATATAATAATTTCAATAAATATTTACTATTTTTATTTTTAGCAGTATTTTATTTATTTATGTATATTATATTTTTTATATTTATATATTTTCTTTATTGTTAACTACATAAATAATTATTTTTCATTTTATTACTAATAAAATGGTCCACATCACACAGTTCATAGTAAAGTCTGTACCTCAAAATGAATCAATTTCACAGCGAAGACAATTTTAAAGTCCATCACGAAAATGAACACAGACTTCTTAATAATAAGTATACTTGAAAAAAAGCCGGTGTATAGTCACAAAATATTTATCGGAAACTCTTTCAATACCAATTAAAGTACAGACAGGAAGTGAACATGTCACAAGATCAAAATAAGCGAAATTCAACGAGTCAGGAAGTAACGGGAAATTCCTCTTTCTTTAATGACACATCTGAGGATTTGCTCCGATAAAAAAATAACAATAAGCACATTCAATATGATTGAAAAATAAGACGCTTTAAAGCAAATAATTAATCATGAGAAGCCAGCTGAATAATTGAAATGAAAAGGGATTAGGAGAACTCAATAATGCTTGCGAAATGGATTTCTGCTCATCGTTAGCAATTCTATTGTTTGTAGTGTACGTTTCTGGTATTTCTTTCCTTCCGGCATTTCGTGATTTGATGATCAAGTAGATTTAATTCATTGCAATAACAACAACTGTTGTTTGCAAGGACGTAGAAGTCTTCATCAGTATTCTATTTAAAAAGAATTTGTACCACAAATTAAAAGTTATTCGCTTTCATATTCATACACCGAGCATTTTGAGCTACAAATTCACAAATTCGTGCAAATTCACAAATTTTCAAATGAGTAGCTATAACCCCATGTTTTTTGTATGTCGGCAACTTGTTTCTAGTTTATCATTATCATTTAAAGCAACTTTAATGCAAGGTTAACACTGATTATAAGTAAATCGAGCCAGTTTCTTCGGAAATGTAGGGATATCTTCGTGAACGGTTAATACGGGATGAGTTACAGCTTAGTCAAATAATTAATAGAGTATTTCTAAACCAACTTAGCAAAAGTAATTATGAAAGTATGAGTATTACTGAGAGAGTCGACAAAAAATTTCTTCTAAAAGATGATGAAGCTACAGGCGATGCGTGCCAGGCTGGATGTCCAGCATCAGTATAGCGCCTGGACTCGCCGAGTGTGGTAGATGCCAACAAGCCTCTCTTCTCCCGTGATCACTTGAGCTTCCTCTAACGTCTGCTAATCAGGTACAAGTACTTATGATTGATAATTACAGTAACTAATGATGAATCGAAGCATTAGTTTCAATTGAAGAACAGAAACTTGAACTTATGTTAGAATTAAACATATGAAACTGGAGAAATACTTATAATAGCAAAATAAAATCTGAGCGAAAGTTTAGTGCTTAGTTTTTAACTTTTACTAGAATTCACAGAATGAAATTCGAGTAACAGTCAAAATTGGTAAAAGAAACTGGGCCATAATTAAAATTGACAACATAAAACTTAAAAAAGTTTCAACTGGCAAAATCTAGCTGAGGGAATAGTTGCATTTGAAAATATAAAATTGGAACAAAATATGAAACTGGTAAAATTAAACTGTGTCAGTATTGACAAATGGTAGAATAAATAACTCGACTCTATTTACTTATTACAGATAAAATATTACTTAAAAGTAAAATTGATAGTAAATGCCGCTAGTAAAGTGGGTATAATATGTACATAACGAAGTGAAACTTAAACAACATTCACAGGTGTTGAAATTAGTTTTGAGCATTTGACAAGCACAATTGACAAGACATTGTGCTCATAATTGACAAGCAATTATGAGCACAATTGACAAGACGAGTCTTGAACAATAGTTAGAACTTACCAAATGAAGGAAAATAATTAGTGGGAATGTAAGCCGTTGAATTAATTCAGTGTTTTTAAAGATTAGTAATTTTAAAATGGTAGGAGCAGGGTTACAAGTGAAGAATAATATTTTATTTATTAAGACTAGAAATGTGCAGCAGGCTTGGTGGCTCTTTATTTTCAAGAGGATATTAAAATACTTCCGCATGAAAAAATTGCTTGCATTGACAAAATGTGATCACCTGCCTATCGAAATTGATATTTCATTGAGGAAGATGTTTTTTCTTGTCGCGCTGGGAAATAAAATGCAAGTATCTTGAATAACAAGTTAGTTGAAAGTAATGACTTATTTCCGTGGATTTACGATGAAAGTCCCCATTGTCTCTTTCCTGTCTGAGTTATGGAAACGTTCACTTTTCCTCGTAGAAAAATAGATTACCGAATATTTTCACTCGTTTAGGAACTGCGAATTTATTAATAATTAATCTTCAAGCACACAATTCCCTAATAATTCAACTGCACCACAAAAATTTAATAATTGTGATGAGAATAGTTTATGCACGTAGACATTAAGTTCACTCTGTATTTTCCGTGGTTCTAACAATAATTTGAAAATGCAGCGAGCATTGAGCAGGAACAACTTCTTTACTGTGAAGCCAGTGATGCGTCTTATCAAAAAAGAAGTAATCGGGAAGAAGTACGAGCTTTTTACTGTTAAAAGAAAATTGCAGAACGCAAGCTCTATGCAATGGGATTACATCCAAGTCGAGAACATTTCACTGTCGTTATTTTATCTCATTCGATGATAAGGCCTATTTTATTATGTTTGATCCAATCGAAAAACGCTGCAAGCAACAAGTAAGAGAGAACATTTAATAAAGAACCATGCAAAAAACGGGTTACTACGATAACTCAATTCTGATTTCTTTCTTTCTTTCTAAAGCTTCCTTGCAAAGAAACCACCACAGGCGATTATAAAGTTTATCCACACAAAAGTAAACGAAAATAGAAATCATTAATATGTGCATATTTTCTCTCACGTCGTTAAATGATACTTAAATGACAGCAAATCGAATGCAGCGATTAAATAAAGGCACCGCAGGGAAGGCCGGCTACTCGGTTAACAAAATTCCCCTCACACAGCGTCCCTAGATCTCTATTGATACTTGAAGGTATTCATAACATGAGGTAGCGCGAGTGTCGCCTCGAGAGAAAGTCATGCAGCGATTGTATGTGGGGCTAGCAGGTCTTATGGCCACAAGTGCGTGTTTACTAACACCTCGCTGCTCTCAAATGAAACTCCGAACGCGTTGCTTCTTCGCGTTGCTGGTGCTAGGGATGCTTGGTCTGACAGGTCAACTGGTTTTTGAGGGAAGAGATTTTAAGTAGGTCAGGCGATCATGTTGTCTCTATAGGAGTATTAGCAGAGATTACGAGGATAATCTCTAAGGAAAAATAAAATTGTTAAGGCTAAAACTGCCACAGGAGCTGATGTTTAAATGGGCTAAGATTTTTATAGGCACTAGGTTTCCATGTAATTTCAGACAGGGCTTAGTTTCCATGGGTTTCAAAAGGGTTAAGTTTTCCAGGTAGCGCTCCAAATGCCCGGGGAATGGAACGGTTGTGTTGAGGAGTGCAATGTTGTTCAATTTGTTTAGCTGGATTTCGGTTTGATCAGCTGGTGTCCAGGTGTACCAGCAGTTGGAAGAGAGCATCAAATCTTGAATTCGTGGCCTGAGTCATCCCTGGTTCAGACTCCGTTTACCTCTGAAGTGTTATCAGGGGGGCCAAACTTCACTAGAGTAGCGCTAGGTTCTCGAATACACTTGTCCTAATCATCCTTCGCGGTGCTCCTAATCATCATAACATAACATATTGATCTCGGCGCTGAAGTGTAGGCCTGATGTGGCCTGTCGCCGATTCTTTTCCTTTTCGTGCCTTGTTCACAGAAGATCTAATATAGTTTCATTTGACCGGATCTTTTCATGACTGACGATAGTTTCAAGTAGCTGCTAGACTTCCACCGGGTTCGATATGGTGCTAGGCATTTCAAATCTGAACATATATTTTTCCATAGCTTCATCTAGTCTGTTCTTGAACGCGTTCAGACTTGGAGCGCCAACGATGTCATTGGGGAGGCTGTTCCACATGTCGGTGATTCAAAGCGAGAAGAAATTTTGTCGCGTGGAGAAGTTGCAGCGCAGTTTTTTTAGTTTATAGCCGTGGCCCCTGGTGTTGGTTCTTGTTTCAAATTCTAGTAATCCTTCGGGGACCTTGTATAAACCATGAGTATACTTGCATACTTCAATGACTTCTGGCAAATCGTTTATAAAAGCAACGAACAAAATAGTCCCAAGAATCATCGCGTGGTGCTCCTAATCATCATCACGTGGTGGTCCTGATCATCATCACGCGGTGCTCCTAACCATCATCACGTGGTGGTCCTAATAATCTGATGCGAGTTTTGTAGTTCAATGTTGGTCGGTACGCACGTGGTCTGATGCAGTAGTTGGAGCCGTCGAAACAAACACGACTGTGGCTGTGAAATGTTCAACTGTACAGGGTAATTCACGGAAAATTCCTGATTTGAAACCTCAGTAAAAATAAAATTAACATAGGTATCATTACAATTTGAACTGTATTGGAAAAGACATTACCTGAATTTCTGTAAAATTTAATTTTACATATGACATCGGACAAATGACGGCCCCCATCGGCAATGCATTCAGTTAGTCGATTTTTGAAGTTCCGTTGAACTCGCTGAATCATATTGACGGGTATGTTGGTGATGGCTTGGTGTATGTTGTTCTTCATATGACATAGGGTCTTTGGACAGTCATTGTAAACAATTGATTAAAGATAATCCCATAAAAAAAGCACACGGAGCCAAATCGGGGGATCGAGCAAGGTACCGAGTATGGAATGCTCGTTGAGAAGCGATAATGTAACGGCCAAAAGGAAAGTACGCCTCCACAGCAAAACGTACGCAACCCACTAAACCAATGCATAGTGGCAACTGACTAAACGGGACCAAAACTTCGTGATCTTGCCTTTAATGTGAATTACTTTTCTCTCTTTTCCGGCAAAATTTTGCTGCTTGGTGCAAAATGCAGAACAGAAAGTTCTTGTGAATCACTCTGTAAATGTTCGGTCAGGCGCTGAGAAAGAGTCCTCCGTGTTTGTATCCATGTTTAATTTTTTTTCAACACATTTGCTAGGATATAGTTTTCATCTGAAGTAGAAGAAGAATATTCGTTGACTGGGTGCTTGGTTTAAAGTATGTCTTTCTACAGTGAAACGTAATATTAGAAGCAGCGCAAATTACCCTTTGTAGATGAATCCCATTCTTTTAAACAAGACAATTGATCTTTTGGAAATATATCATTCATACAAGACACATGCACCATAGCTACAACATTTAATAGCTCAAACTTTCGCTACTTTCAGTACAGTGAGATGTTAACTGATTAGCTTTTCGGTGTAACAAATGTTTTAGCGTGCTTAATTTCCCTTTAAACTGCTATGGGCTTCAATTTTTCTTAGGCATATACAGTCAATCACAAAAGTCTTGTCGAACTCGCAGCAAGAGTTCAAATTAAAAATCGGAATTTAAATTCTGTTCAAATTTAAAATCTCATTCGCCAAGGAAATTGCTTAGGTGTTTTGATGAGAATTTAATAATGCCGTCGACGAAAAGCACGCGTGTATTCAGCTGTCTGTACTTTCGAGAAATAAAAAAAAATTAAATATTTTAAATTTACCACCTCTCAAAATATTTAAGGTTCATTAATACGGTACTTTGTTATAGAAATGCAGAGAGAAAATCTATTACAATCAATCGTTTTTTATTGTGCTAAGTAACATTATAGGTTAATATTAATAGAAGTGTAGAAGTGGCTGGGCTCTTTATTTTTTAGTAATTGTATCCTGCCTTAAGTCCAGTCTTACGAATTCAAGAAGAGTTCGTCACATTACAATAAAACATAAAAAGTTTATTGAGAGGAAATCTGTCACGTTTCTACAACATTTACAAGTTTAATTTGATATTTTCTACAAAGAGATGAAGTCAAATCATCAAATTACCTGGAATGCTAAGAATTGTAGTCAATTGCAGACATTGACATCGCAATTAATGGCTGAACAAGAAGCAACATTAATTACACACAAATATGAAGCCAGAATAATTAAGACTTCACTTGTATCCGCTGAATATCATGCCGTGATGTTCAAAAGGAAACTCAAAATACCTATAAATGCGAATGCAATAACGAAATGGAAGCAATTGAAACTGACCTTCGCTTAGCAATTGAACTGAACTGATTGTTGACCTTCGCCATGGAGGACAGTCGCAAATTTACAAGATGTGTTACATTCAATAACCTACTTGAAATTCTGATAACTAACATAGCTTTCTGTTGTGCAGCATATACATACTAAACTCGTAGTCAAATTTACCATTGTTGTGAAGACGTCGTATATTTTATTCGTCATGTAGATAACGGTTAACAAGACTTTCTAAGTATTGTTTCGGAACTCATGATGCGTGCTGCAAAGTTCGAACCAATATGTATATTGCGCGTTTGCAGAATAATTTACCTCTAATGGACTAAAGATAACAGACATAACACATAAAGAACTTAGAGCTGGACACTTATTAACCTGACTGAGAGCTGTATATTATGAAATTCAACTGTGAATTGGGTGACTCGAGTGATGGGCCTGCCTGATTATTCTGCACATAATCATCTGTATAAGTGCGCATACCTTTTTCATGTAATTTGCTTAATTGTAAAGCTATAGCTATAATCTGTGTGGGTATCAGCAAGTGATCAATTCAACTACCAACGCAGATCAGTAAAGGTCAGGAAGTGAGCAGCACCTGCATCAGGTGGAGCGGCGTGCGTGTCTCGCATTTCTTCCTCTTTAACAGGGAGTTGGTCGTGCCATCGTGCCGACAAAGCGGAAGTATAGAGAGCGCCGCAGCACCGGAAGCAACTTTCATTTTTAATGAGAATATGACGGCGGCAGATTCTGCTGCTGCTGGCGTTCTGGAACGTGCTAGAACCATTTAACGTCCCAAAAACTTATCTAATTTATACTTGTTTTGTTTGGGATGCGCTTAATAGTTAGTGAATTTGAAGTTTATGAACAATTTAAAATGTTTGCTCGCAATGGACTAAAGATTCTTTAACATATCAATCATATAAAAAATAAATATAAAAATTTGTGTGAAAAAATGCGATTTTAAAATTAGCCGTACGGTATATAAATGTTTATGTCTTCTATTATATCTCAACATTATATGACATGGCTAGTCAGAAAACGAAAACTTCCAAAAATATGAAAAACGGCTGTTTTGTTTCTTACAATTTAGTCTCCTTTTCAAAAGTATATTTCCAGAATGTACTTAATCTAGAATCATTACTATAGAGTTTTTCAACTTTACAGAGACTTATATTTTCATTGGATGTATACAATTACGATTTTTGCTGATAATACTCGAAGTTAAGTACATTAAATATGGTTACATGTGGATAGAACTGATTCGGCTAAACATCCGTAGTATAGAGGTAATATGTTCCGTTATTACTGTGCTAAATAAGCACAGTACTTTTGCAGACGCTTCCTTGAAAACCGAAAAAAACAGAAGCAAGTTTACCAAAAAATAACATAACCAAATATCCAACACTAGGGACGAATTGTCTTATACAAGTCAAGGCCTGCACAATGTGATCTCTCTGGGCCTAGATGAAATTATTTCACCTTAAATGACCAATTAAAAAATTATTTTACGCCGAATTCAAAATCAGATAACAAATTAGATATTGGAATGCAAATGGGTTTAATATTCATAAACCAATGAATTTGGGGGGAATTAATATCATTATTAACCGTACCGTAAAGTAAACACGAACTTGTGCCCGCCATGCATGGGATGCATATGAATTTAAATGACTTGAAATGAAGCAGATAGAAAAATATCTCGATACCACGCCAATTCATTTTTCTCTTACGTTGTAACAACCGAACTGAAGTAACGTAATTTCGTTTTCAGTTTTACACTTGCACACAAACATGATGATCATACATACAGATTAGGTATTTAATAAGTAATCTTAGTGATGTGCTTTATTGCCAACTCCAAGTTGGCCATTTGAACCCTTGTCATGTCCGTCATAAATGCAATACTTGGTGTCACTTCTCACTTCCATCTTTTATTTAAGTACCAAATTAAAAATTACGAGCTACTTACCTAGGCTGAATTTCTATTTCGTTGGTAAAAAACGAGATTTTTTTTTTTTCAGAGCCATGGCCTACAGCTGGGATAACCGTGTGAAGTTCGTCGTCAGATACATGTATGGTGAGTGCAACTTCGTTGGTTTTGCAGATGCTACAAAAATTTATACATTTGACTTAATCTTTGAATGTACTTTACGGTAGGTACGAAAATTTTAAAAATAAAGAAAACAGAGATAAGCCAAAACCATATCGTGTTCGCTATCAAATGAATTACGTGAAGACGTGTCATGGAAATTTATGCACACTCAATGTGGTATGAATTATTTTTTCTGATACTTGGTGTGCACAACTATGTTATTCCAATATGGAACCGATTCGTGAACTTGTATCCAGGATTTATGGATAGAATATGAAGCTATGGATCATAACCAAGAACAGGAAGGAAGTTGGTTCAACAACTTTATGGTCAGTGCAATGCACACAGTAAAAGTGTGTATTTCATCTGAACATATTTTCTAATTATGACATGTTTAGATCCGCAATTCTCCTATTTCAAAATATTTAGTATAATATGTCAAAAATGAAAATATCAAAATAAATCACAAAACTAGTAGTGATTTTTTTTTAATTTTAAATTTAATGCCTTAAATTTTGTTTTAATCATCGAGTTTGGAAATGTAATGATCAATGCATGTGGTGGCGAAGCTGGGTTTGCAAGTTGGAGTTGTAGCGTGGGCGTTACTTCAAGAGCGATGTGACGAAGAATAAAGGTCTTCTGTCGAGCCCTCACCTGTGTGTGCTGGTAGCATGTATAGACAACTGTGTCGACAACCAACACCTGTCGGGAGAGGCTCTCAAGACTGGTTGAACAAAATTGATAGTGTATTCAGCAAAGAGGGGGCTACGTGCTGTTCCGATAAACCGTATTGCACGAAACAGCGATAGCTGTTATCGGCTTATCTGAGAGCTGTTATCGATCAGCCAACAGATGGCTGATCCCACTTAAGTTTAATTCATATTACTTTGTTCTTTGCAGCGCGAATCAACCTGAAAAAAAAATAATAATTAGAAGCTTAAATTTGATAAAATTCATGCAAGTTGAATACAATTCGAGAAAAACCTTCACACTGCTCTGACTGAAACCGTCGATGCAACTGATCACGGGAACATGTTCATTAAAAGATACCAGACTTTTTAGTCAGTTCCTTAGCTCCAATTTATTTAATTCTCAATGTTAAAGTTCAAGTTAAACTTGAGATTACTTGTAAGTATTTAGAAATCCATATAACATCTAATCTCAAATAAGTTTTACATTATTTTGAAAGAGCTGAGAACGAACGTGCGATGGAGTCTGAACTGGAGCAGGTACATCATTGAATTTTGAAAGCTGCAACATGAGGACCAAGTACATGGGTAATGTAGACAAGTACAATGAAACGTAGACAAGTACAATGTAATGTAGACAAGTACAATGAAACGTAGACAAGCACAATGTAGCGTAGACAAGTACAATATAATGTAGACAAGTACAATGTAATGTAGACAAGTACAATTTATTGGAGACAAATACAAATTATTGTAGACAATATTTGTAATGTAGACCAAAACTGTTTGTTACAGAAATGAGCAATTTATTACAGACGTGTACAATGTTACGTAGACAAATACAATGTAATATGTTGACATGTACAATTTATTTTAATTAATAAATACTTTATTTGGAAAAGAACAAAGTAATATTGACATTTTAATTTATTGTAGATAAGTACTACTTTATGTAGATAAAAAACAATGTAATGTAGCCAAGTGCAATGTAATGTTGTCAAATAGCTCATTGCATATCGTGAAGGAATCGGATACAATAAGACTCTCATTGTCATCGCTATGGTCCCTAGATTTAATGTAAATGATTTTCAAGCGAGGTACGTTGTTAATTAGATTCTTGCATTGAAGTGTCACCTTAGAAAAGCTTCAGGTATGTATTGTTATAAAATATAAAATTCCAGCGTTTGTGCTACAATGGAAATGGATGCTAGTGACAAGTTCTACCCCTGGCTTGGGCTGATACTCTAGAATGCTTAAGAAATATCTATCCCCAGCTACTGTTTAACTATTACAAGTTTGCCGACAAATAATTGCTGCCATATAAGTGAGCTAAGGAGGTGAACACGTACAAGAAGTACGATTTTTCATAACAAAGCCCCCAACGTTGCTTCACTTTTGTTTTCGGCGCTACGTAAATTAGCCTCGTCAGTCGTGAGGATGAAAACATTACGGCCGTTTCTACAGCGCCGGGCACATTATTTTCCCATAACTTTTTATAATTAGCGAAGTCGCTAGAGAAACGAGCGTGAAGAATTACGTACACAACAGAAAGATTCCCGGGCCTATACTTTCAAAAAAAGTTGAGAGATCGTAAGTTCATCAGCCAATCATTGACGGCCGTTTAAGCAAAATCCACCAATCATAGACAAGAAAATAAAGCGTAAGTACTTACGTTCACTTAGCAAATTTTGAAAGTATGGCCCCCGGTCGTCATAGTGCCTGAAAAGTTCCAAAGGTTGATGGGAAAGCTCAGGTGGGGGTCCAAAAAGTCATGCCCTTAATCGAATATCATGAGAAGGTATAAACATAATGGATTTATGGATAATTGAAGACAACACGTGCCATAGTAAATCCATAAGATCAAAAGTTTGTACGGAGTTTGCTATTATATTTTTTATATGTTAGGAGAAATTCACGAGTTTAACTAGCTGAAAGTAATCCACCGAAATAAAACCGTTGACGATCATTAATTGCTAATTATCCATATTGACAACTTAGCTTGGCTTAAAATTAAGTAACCAGATTCAATTGGTACATCTACAGGGTTTGGACAAAATAAGGGAAACACCTGAAATTTTTATATCGTAATTTTTGATCATGTTATAAACAATGAAAACGTGACATATTTTTTTATTGTTTATTGTTGCTGCTAATTGATATTTTATCCTTGCACAGGTATTTTTAGCCAATTTTTGTGTCTATAACCTAACCTATAACCTATAAATGGCAAACCCCTATGACTTTCAAAGAGGCCAAATTGTTGGTGCTTATACGGCAGGTGCTTGTGTGACAGAAACTTCCCGGATTCTGGACGTTTATAGAGGTACAAGAGGTTTAAAACCTCCAGAATTGGTCCCTTTGGCAATGTAAAAATGTAATTTTCTCTGCAGAATAAAATATTCGTTTACCTTATTTCCAACCTCCGGCCGGGTTTAAGTTTGGAGACAGCCAAAAGAGTCATTTAATCCCGGCTGCCTCCTCCCAACCTTAAATCATGGCGAGGGATCTGTGATGATCTGTGGCGTTGTTTCTTGCAAATCCGGCGGTCCAATGATTTCTCTTCATGAAAGAATCAACAGCCGTGACTATTTAGGAATTTTGGAGGACCAAGTTTATACAATGGTTCAAGCACTGTTTCCGGAAAGGAGCGCCATCTTTCAAGATGAGTCGCCTGCCGAAGACCACCACTGCCCTGGATGTAATGGACCATCATGATTCCTGCCTTGCGGAATGTAGCCTTCAACACTTCAAGCCGTCCGTATCTAGGCCGTGGGTCGAACCAGCCGTCGGTCGAACGGCCACTTGTCGAAGGACGATAAATTTTGGAACAGAACTATGCTATCTGAAACCTAACTTCAGATGCGGTGAACGTAAAATTACGTAATTTGACGATGCCTGGAAGTCAAATTCGATCCGCGGCCTGGTGGTGCACGGCAGGTGGTGGTCAAGGCCGGAAGAGGACAAAACCGAGTGGTGCACGGTTGATTGGTGTAGGTCCGGAAAGATCCAAGGCGTTCGATTCAGGGCATATTTGTGCACAAATTTGGTGGTGCACGGCTGCGCTCCCTTCAAGATGATAATGCCTCGATCCATACAGCTGGAATTGTTAAAAAATGGCACGAAAAATATTTTAATGAAGCTGAGCATCTAATTTGGCCACCACAATCGCCAGTCCTGAATATTTTCGAGCATTTATGTTCGATTTTAGATATGCAAGTCAGAAATCGATTGTAGCCGCCATCGTCTTTAAAAGATCTGGAGGGAGTTTTAACTGAAGAATGGGTAAAATTACTGTGGAAAAAATTCAAAATTTGTATGAATCAATACCTCGGAGAACTGAGGCTGCAATTGCCACATAGGTAGACCTACACCATGCAAAAATATATTCTGTGAATTTCTCAGGTGTTTTCCTTATTTTATCTAACCTCTGTACATTTATTTCTTGAAACTTCTACATCTACTTTCATCTGCGGGATTTGAGCGAAAGAAAAAAATATAATCGATTGTCTTCAGCATTTGCTTCATCCTCAATTAAGTTCTGGTCACAGGACTTAACTTCACAACGGACGATATCGAGTCAGTATATGTGTACACTGTACACTGTGCAGAGCTCGTGTGTTGCGATGGTTCAGTTCGGGAACTGAAAGAAAAACAGGACTAAATGAGTTTTCCTACCAGCTTCACGACATAAACTTGCTTTGTTATGCATTTTTAATCGAAAAAAATAACCTACCCACAAGAAAACGATCGATTGCCGTTCCTGCTTTTCGTTTTATGACATTTTTGTTAGTCTATACTAAAGTCTAAACCATAAACCGGTGGAGAATTTCTACAACACAGTTCTGGCTGCGAGAGTTAGCATGTTATAATATGGGTTGAGTTGAGAAACGCATTCGAAAGAATTCTTAGATTTAAAGAAGTAAGTTTTAGCAAGAGAGCATCGGAAATTTCTGCTCCTTTTGAAATTTTTTCACCAGGAAAAGCATTGTTTAGAAGATTCATGTTTTAAATTTGCAAGGTACAAATTACACCTCCCGTATTAACATTATCGAAAAGTTTTTATATATCCATCGAATTGTTTCTTTAGCAATAAAAAATATTGCAATGAAGTCAGTATCGTTGACATCCTCTGCAAGTGAAAATGTTTGTCATTATGCTCAACATTAAATTTTAATACAACTAAAAACTATGAAAATTTTTTGGCCAATTTAATACAACCAAAAATTATGAAGTTGGCAAATTTAAACATTTGCTTGGTCGTTATTTCAGGTGCACTATATGGGACAGTACTGAGCCTGGTCAATGCTGAAAATGTGTGGAAGTACAGCGTCGAGGTGTGGGTACTTTATTACGTGGAAGTTGGCCGAAGCATCGAAGTTCATTCGCCGTAATGCAGCTCGGTTCATTTTTTACTCTAGTCTTGGCACGAGCTCCCCGGCACTCACCTTAAGTACACCGAAAAATGCATGCAGCTCCCGAACGACGACACTCGCAAGCCGGCTTGCTTACGTGTTATGCAACGCGATCAAGAATGCGACATGTCGTGAGGTGGAGCTGAGCTACGATGCGGTAGAAGCTGCCAAAACTTGCACAGCTTTAATTTATTAACGACTTGTCACGATAACAATGGCAATTGCATCGGAGACTAGGACAAGCGGCGTCTGTGGGCTTTCGTCGCGCCACGGTTAGGTGAACGCATCGTGAGCGCTCGGATGCTCAGAAAAAATATTTTTACGTGATTCGCACATTTGGCTTGTAAAGTAGCTGTAAATAAATTTTGGGGCTTACAACCTGACAACAAAAACAAATAAAAAAATATGCCTTTAGCAATTTTCAAGAGATTTAGTTAGGCTGCTTCAAAAAAATACTGTTCCTATCGCTGTTATTGTTGGGTCGTTATTTCTAAGGCGGTAAGAAAGTATCCTTTACTTTGAATATTTAAAAGAGGCTAAAATATTATGATCGTCGAAAAAAACACAAATGTGTGTACGTCCCCAGAAATGATGCGGCAAATTTATGCTAATATTTACTGATAAATCGCAATGTATTGAAGGATACTTGAATCGCATGATCAGCAGAAAAAACTTGCGGTATTATTTTCTCATACATTGTCAAAACCAGACAAAGAATTTGTATCGCTATGCGGAAATAAAAGTTTTTCACTTTGATTCTTCTTCAGCTTTCTGCTCCACGAATAAGGGAACTCGTATAAGCCAAAAATCGGAATAACTAAATAATGCAATTATTTATTATTTCATTATAATAATGAACAGAATTGAGACGTAAAAATGAAATCATGCCCAATCGGTCACGAATGAGAAGTCAGACGTTACAAAAGCCAAGTTTTTTCTGTCGCAATGTCACGCTGCCTTCATTCTATACAATCTTTGAATTCACAATATTCTTGCGTAAATATATCAGGGTTAATCGCAAATAAAACGCCTGTAGTCTGTAGCGACTTTTGCGGTTTTAGAATAGAATTTAAATTGTAATTTAAGCAGAGCAAACTTTTCAAGAAGCGATCTTAACTTCAACGTCATGGCGCCCTGACAGGATCAAGATTAGAGGAAGTTTCGCAGTTTAGGTCACTTGAAGTGTTTATGAAAGCTTTGATAGCAGCACATAAGGTAGATTAATGATCGCGCATTTCTTATTGTTCTAGTTATAGTAAAGAATGTTTTAGAAACGTTGCGGATTTTTGCTGATGATTTTGTGAATACTGAAACTTTAATCATGTTTTTGCCCAAAGCCTTCGGCTAAACAAGTAATTCTTGTTGATCTAATAAATTTTTTTGAAGTCATTACCTTGAAACAACTGCGATGAGACGGTTATCACAAATGTATAATAAACATTTCCCAGCATCTGGTTACTGAAATAAAGATTAAGACCAACAGAAAGTTCGATAAAGAAGAGTTTAGTTTTAATTTGATACGGCAAATTTGCGAGTTTCAGAAAAAATCATGCAAACATACATATTAAGTTTTTGGTGAAAGATGGTGAACATTTTTTGGCAAAAGCGATACCGAGATGAGAGGAGCTAGCCCGTGGTTTCGAGCCTTGGGAAGCTACGCGTGGCCCATACTTTAAAAAAAAAGTAAAGAGATCGTAAGTTCGTCAGCCAATCATTGACGGCCTTTCAAGCAAAATCCACCAATCATAGATAAAAAAATAGAGAGTAAGTACTTACGTTAACTTAGCGAGTTTTGAAAGTACGGCCCCAGTCCGTTTCTCGGTGTCACTGATAGACGGCGCTTGTATGGTAGCCGTCGTGGGTGGTGCTCTCAGCATGGCCATGAATTGTGTCCCTAAGCGAACTTTAGGTACGTGTTGCCAGTGGAGCGGATCTCTTAAGATAACAATTAATCAGCTCAATCATACAGCTTAAATGCGCGTTTGACAACATAGAAACAAATACAATATTAATTGAATGAAGCGAGAATTCAATAATTCAACAGTCATTCAACATTCAGTCATGACATGAGTTTTGAAAATTCAAGAACAATGCTAACTTGAAAAATTTAACTCAGTACTCACTGCAGTGAGTGACAGGGAGCGCATTTTCTCAAAATCGACGAAAACGTGAAGTCACGGACAGACGGACGGACGGACATGACTAGCACAATAGGGCAATTTTTCCATAAATGAGAGAATGCGTTAAAGACGGGTTTTCAACCAATATATTATGATGTTTTATAAACATCTATTTTCGAATTCCTGCAGACATTGACAACAATGGATACTTGGACAAGAACGACTTCGAATGCCTGGCCCTGCGTAACACCCTCATCGAGGGCCGTGGCAACTGGGACGACAAAGCATATGCCGGCAACCAGAAGATCATGAGCGACCTCTGGAACGAGATCGCTGAGCTCGCCGACTTCAACAAGGTGAGACTTTTATGTCTTACTTTCATGCATTCTAAATGATATCAAGCTCAATAATTGGTTTCACAAGATAAATCGAGCAAGATTTTTAGTATAAATCTTTTATTAGACTCACTAAATAACAAGGTATATCAATAAACAAAAAATTTGACTTATAACGAAATAAAATGCCAGGCGATGAAAGGCCGGAAATCGTAAATTCGTCAAGTTCTAAAGGTATTGGAGAATAAATTAAATTTGAGAAGTTACCCCAACAGTTGACCCGATTTCCGGGACAGAAAGTTCTAATTAATTACATTAAATATATAGTTTTACATCCAATAACTATTAACTAGATATATCTGAATTTGAAATGAATACTTTTGGACTGAAGAATCTAGTTTTTATCAAAATCTTGCTGCCATAGTAGACTCGAATTAGGAAAATTGTTTGTAGAAATATTATGAATTGAAGACAGATGTTGAAACAGGTATTTAATAAATCAGAAACAGTATGTCTTGAAGCGTTAAATTAGATTTATCCAAGCAGGCTTCGTAACGGTTAAATTCAATTGATTCAGAGGTGTAGTGGTAGATACTACTAACCATTAAAGGTTTGAGTTGATTCACGGCTAATTCCACTGGGCCTTCTACAGAAAAATTGGCCTTAGTGAACAAGGCCTTAGATAATAGACTAGATTTCAAAACTAAAATTATAGCCTTTTCAACGAAAATACGCGCAGTTTATCTTTACTCACGATAAAAAAAGGATGACAAATCTGCTGAAAGCAAGAATGGGAAGAAATCGAGAGGTTTTTATTAAGTTGACGGGCCATCAAGAATCATGTGAACATTGCAAATACGTTATCCTCTTTCGATTTGAACTTGTTTATGTTATTATAGATTCTGTTCACGTTAATTAACTCCTACTGGAATTGAATAGTACAAGAAGTGATGAGAAACACTTAAGGTAAAAATAAGCAATATTCTTATGAACGTAGATAAACTTGTGACCAGAAAGCCTTTCTACTTGTGGCTTAGCTTTGCATGGAATAGTTATCGAATTCAGTCTCACGGGTAGAATTTGACATGAATTAAACTGTTTCTGACTTACAGACTACTTTTTAGCAGGTATTTCATAGAAGTTTAGCAAACACTTATTTTGTATTTTTTCGATTCGTCCAATTTTCATTTCATTAGTTGAACCTATGTTCAATGAATGCATGAAAGTTAAACAGTTTAGCTCGGCCAACCTCGAGGCAAGAGGTGAGTAACACTTTTAGAATTCCATGCTTGAGCCGCTGGGGAGGGTAAGCTGCACATGCTAAGCACTTAATGAGCAGTGGAATTATTGTAACATTTCAGGACGGCCAAGTGACAGTGGATGAATTCAAACAAGCCATACAGAAGCACTGCAATGGCAAGTCTTGGGCCGAACTCCCAAGAGCCTTCAAGACCTTCATTTCTAGCACTTTTAAGACCATTGACGTCAATGGTAGGTTTTACGTGGAGGTCAATTTATTCAATGGTTCGTAATTCAAGCAGCTTCTACCTTATTAATGCTACGACTAACTCAATATTAATGCTTAATTTCAGCGCAAACAACACTTTTAACACGTCCCGCCGTTGAGATCCAACGAACCTCGTTAGCTTCTTCATCTCGCTGAATGAATGTTTTCCAGGTGGACGCGAATTACTGACCAACTTCCTGATTACAGAATGTTACGTAGGCAACCGTGAAGTACTGACCAGTGCATTTACTCCATTGGTGTTCTCTAGGCAACCGCCAAGTATAGTGATTAATTTTCTATCTACGTATGATTTGTGATTGTTGGTTTACAGGACGGTCAAGTAACTGTAGAGGAATTCAAGCAGGCTATCCAGAAGAATTGCAATGGCAAGGCCTATGCTGATTTTCCTCGTGCCTTCAAGAGTTTCATTGCCAACACCTTTAAGACTATTGATGTAAACGGTAGGTTTCATTCACTGTCTCTGCCTGGCAAGCGTGAACATAGGCTGGACTGCGATGCCACTAACCAAGACTGTGCCGCACTAATGACTAAATTTTAACAAAGTCAACTCCAGAACTGTCTGTGATCAGTAATTTTTACACGTTTACTCGTTCAGTCTGATAATTATAATGAAATGCGTAGTTCGTATTTGTCATGCGCCTGCAAAATGTTCAGAATTCACAACTGACGTTCGAAGTTACTCAAAAAGTGGAACATAAATTCTAAAACTATAGACAGGTGCAATTATTGGCCGCACGCTCATTGATATAAGAAGATGCGTTTGTGTATCCATTATATATACGTTATTAGAATTTCTCAAAATTAAATCAATTGAAAACATAGAACTGAGAAAGACTAACGTTTGCAAATAACATCACTCGCGTATATGCATGAATTCCACATTACAATGAGAAACCATGTTATCCACAATCTAAGTTTTGGATAATTTAAATTATGAATAAACGAACATGATGACAATCTCACCGAATTTCACGACCGCTGTCCTCGGTGGATAAATTTTGTATTCCGAGAAATCATTTTCGTATAAGAAGTTCTCTAAAAAATTGGCAGAATTTTCTCGCACAACTGACTTCAGAGAAAAAAATCAGCAGCCGCATCAGATATGAATGAATAAGATTCAGGATATTTAATTAATTAGCTTCGATCTCATTCGGAACCGAATTTTGGACGGTCGATTTTAGTTGTACGTAAAATATAAATTTAAGACTACACATTTTGCTTCGTACAAGCCAGATTGTGGTTCCGATTCCCAACTGAACTAAATTACTCGTATTTTAGGGATGCATTTATGATTGATTTCAACAGGATGGACAGATAACAGTAGAAGAGTTCAAGCAAGCTGTTCAAAATGCCTGCGTTGGAAGGAGTTACGACTGCTTCCCAACAGCTTTCAAGATATTCATTACGAACCAATTTAAAACAATTGATACTAATGGTAGGTTCCTCTTTCAAAGTATAGGTACTTATCAGCTTCTGGTCTCTGGCACTCTGCCGACACCCAAGACCTCCCATGAATCTCGACGTTTCTAAACTATCGTTGAACTAATCCTTCTGCAAATTCCCTGCATTTCTCGAATTGGTCCATTTAAATATTTAAAACCTTATTATTCATATCAGACAATTTTAGCTTCAGTTTCGAGATTGAGGACAATATGTCAATATCACAGTCTTTCTACTTCTTTAAATGCGCTGGCTGAAGAGCAAATGCCGAAGTGAGCAGGTGTTGATTATTAAGGCTATCATTGTGATCGGTGGAGATGTAAATCTGGCCTTCTTGGAGCCTTTAATCAAGTCATAAAGTTCTGGAATGTAGCTACCAAAGCTGTAGATCATACAGCGCAATACCTACGATTTCCGGGGCCGAAGATGACCAGAGACCAGAGGTTCATACTTACCTAAATTTTGTTTGGGTCGAATCTCACGTTCAGTTTATTGCACTTAAATCTTATCCGAACTTCATTTAGTTTTCTGCAGCTCAATTTTTTATACTTCTTGCACCAGAATTGGCTTACCTATGTATTTGTATTATCCGATATCTGAACGCTGGAAGTCATGCAGCATGTCGCTAATGAGACTTAATAACGTCTATTCTTTACCCAATATGAAATTATTTTATAATTTCAAACCGTTGCACTGTAGAATGTCAGTTCATTAACACAAGTATTGTTCTTCTCTTCACAACTCGAGACTTTAAGGAATTTTGGCGTGTCCAAGCTCAGTATTTGTATATTTTTGACTATCCATGTTGGACATAGAAAATAGTCTCTATGTATCGCTTAACAGACGATTCTTGTAAATAAATTAAGCATTTTGTAAATAAACTAATTAGATTAATTAATTAATTTCTCAAAAATATTCGTTTATAAATAAATAAAAACCAGCTACTACAAATTTAAAATATATCCTCTGGAAATATATAAAATTATCCCTCCCTCGTGAAGTATTGTTAATATTTGTAATAATTAGTCCATAGTTCTGATTCCCGAGCAAATATTTTACACAACTTTTTTTTAGCTATAATCAATTACCGAAAATATTTTGCCATAATTCACAATAATATTCTCACTCAAACCTCATAGATCATCAAGAGTGCATTTGTCATGTGTACATAAGCTGACTATTTTCAAAACCGGCCATCCCAGAACTGTAGCAAAATTTTAATCCAAGATCGACAGCCTCTGTGACAACTATCATTCTAACATGATCTTCAATACGAATATGACCACTGAAAGCTTGAACTCGACGATTTACTGCTCATATGAGACTGACCACACGACCGACTGGGCGTTCGATTAGATTTTTTATTTGCTTCGATTTTTTACAACGCCAGCAAAGAATGTGAACATGATGGGTGGATACATCGTGTATGTATGGTCCCCAATTTTTCCAGTCGTTTTACCTTATGCGTACGTAATTTTAAGCACTCTATTTTCAACGAGCACTTTTGAAACAACATTTTAGTACTTTTTTATTGATGCCTATATTTTTGAATTGAAACAATTTCGATAGCTGATTTTTTAGAACCCACCCTGATAATGTAACATCATTAATCCGTGATTCTATCACCGTACATTGATGGAGCAGTTTGAATCGAGTGATCTATCATTGATACTCATTGTTACCTTCCAAGCAAAATATAAGTCAACTTCTATGCACCTTATGGTCCCTAATCAATTTCCTGCATGATTGGTGTCCATTCCCATATTAAATATTACTTAGCGAGCTAGTCTTTGTTATCTGGGAGATTTTTTGTGTTCACTGTAAACGTGGAATTGTGAGTGACGGTAAAATTTTTAAAAAACTTGTCAGTTTAAAATATTAGTCACTATTGCTGTTGATCAATCCAACTTGCTTGTTTCAAATATCTTAAACGACCATGAGGCAGCACCAGCAAGCAAGGCCTAATCGAGTTAATAAGTGCATGCTTCCTGATGGTTCATAACTAAATAATCTACTTATTTGGTCTTGCTTTCTTGTTAAATGGAACTAACACGTGTCATATACTGTATGTTGAAATATGTGTATACTATCAACTTCATTTACATTCAATATCTGTCAATGCACATATATATGTACATAATGATTCATAGTGCTATTCTTTTATGTGAGCGGCTGATGTTAACTCGATACAACTCTCCAATATTATTGTGTATTAATGAATTAGTTACTGGGCGAGTGAAAGAATAATTTTTCACATCCCGATAACTCTCGAATACAAACATAAACTTACATGATTACACAACTGAAACCATGCTTATATGCATGCCGTGGCTTCTTAAAACTGTTGAAAAGCTTATCTGGAAGCGAATAATTTTGTAACTTTGAACGATAAAATGAGTTAAATCGTTTCCTGATGTAAGAAATTGAAGCATCTCACCAGACTACGATATCCCATATATTTCGTATTTTGAATTATTAGAATTAATTATTAATCATTTCCGAGTACGGTCAATACAGTTGTGAAGATCGGCGATAAATAATTCATGCTAATATTGAACTAAGTATAGGGCAGCGTATGTAATTTAAAATATTAACTAAATTACTATTTTATAATTTGTGTTGTCTGAAGTGTTTCCTAGCAAATATGTGCTAAAATTAAATTGTTCAGAGAAAAATTGCACTAAATAAACTCGTGAAAGTACGAATATTCGAGATTGATTTATTCAAGTTTAGCTCTCACGAGCCCAGTAACTCGATGTTATAAGAAGTCATAAATACATCCTTCAATGGAGTGTTTTCTAGCTTTTTTAAAAATTCTCTAGATAATAAAAACACATAAATGGTACATATATCGCACAATGTTTGATATATGAGCGAGTGCCAAACGTTACTTTCGAGAGTAACTAACCTAACTTAACCTAACCTACTGATGAGTTCGAGTGTCTTACAGGTGACGGGCTCGTTGGCGTGGACGAGTACAGGCTGGACTGCGTTAGTCGCGCCGCCTTCTCAAACATCAAGGAAATTGATGACGCCTTCAACCTCCTCCTCACGGTGAGTGTCTCTGCTTGTCAACTTTAACCTCCTCCTCACGGTGAGTGTCTCTGCTTGTCAACTCAAGTGTGTGTTAATTCATGTGGTAATGGAGGCGACCGTCCTCTTACGTAGATGATAAGGCGACTATCGATCCATTCAGCTAATCTAAACAATGATTTCTTCAGCTTGAATGTGCTAAATTTGGGAATGAGTATCATCGAACTATAACTCATGAGAGCTAATCTAAAAAATGATTTCTTCAACTTGAATGTGCTAGATTTGGTGCTAAGTATCGTTGAACTATAACACATGAGACCAGATAAAACGGCAATAACTTTGATAAATTTTTCAGGAAGAGGACAAGAAGGCCGGTGGCATCAGCCTCACCCGCTACCAGGACCTCTACGCTCAGTTCATCTCCAACCCCGACGAGAAGTGCAACGCCGTCTACCTTTTCGGACCCCTGAACGTCGTCGCCTAGATTAATTAGCATCTTCAGCCTTCAGTAACTCACCCAGACTACAAGCTATGGGAGATGAAAAGCTTTAAAGCTCACAGAGGCTTTATTTTCCAAGTTCAATTGGTTACGGCAAATTTTTAATGGCCACGTTTTGCTGAAAATACACATTGATAAACAAAAAGTGTCCCCAAGTTCTTGTTACCTGCCTTCTTCTAAGAAGCCTCTATCCCATAATGTGCAGTCTGGGTGGCTATACCATTCACACTCACTTAATTCCTTATCTCGTACTCGATAAAAGTGTTCAGTCCACGAGGAAAGTCCACCCGCTAGTTAGAATACAAACTTGAATATTTCAAAAGACAGATAACGGTTGAAGTCAGCACCTTTTTTTAAAATGAATTTACTCATTTTGCTGTAAAATTCAAAGCTGCAACGTCCATGCGCCTCATTTCAGTTTACTAAAATAACTTTAAGAGTGAACGCTAGTATTGTCCGAACGGGGCCGACGGATCAATATAAAATTTACTTGCTGTTCATTAACGCCGGTCAGATTCTTCCTCACAATAATTTCCATAACAGTAACTTGAACGTTCGAACAAATGGACTGTAGATTGGATTTTCCCTGCCATGTTTCGTGCAGCTCGATAAGCTAGCTTATCACCTATTATCTTTACCACACTCAATGACATCGCACAAAATGTTGTTGTGCTGTTTAGCGAAACATTACAGTGCTTCAGATTTGGCATTACACGTGATGCATTCGGTCTAACTTCGGGATTCATTCCCATAACTGAATAAATGAATCGTGACTATTTCAAATAAAAAATAAAAAATAAACTTATGCACGAGTCGGTGAAGAAAACTCTAACGAGGCTAGGTTTCTAATTAGCCTTGATTAGATTTTGGCTCTACCCTATGGATTCAGAAATAAGAATAAGATCTAAAACAGCGTTCCACTGAACGTACACGCGTTCAGCCCGGGGTTGGTATTCCAGTCACCTTATAACATCAAACGTGATGGATAGAAAGGCAAGATATTGACCACTATGTTAGTTTTGAACTCGAGAACAGTTCTTCGACGAAGGTTGTGTGTAGATTAAAGGTCTCTACGAGACCGAAAGACGATGAACTTGTTTGTACAGCTACAGTTTCTGCCCCTATAAAAGCCGTACGATAATTCGCTATTGGAAACAACGTGTAGAAATTACATGAATTTCAGTGAGAAGTCTTCAGCTTTGCTTCTGAATGGGCACCCACTGAGCCACATCAGTGCCCGTGCAGAAGTGTCTTGAAGTCTTTCGCTCCTGTTAAGAACTAACTTGTTCGAGACGCATTTACAACAACTATTTTTGTGTTCTTTAATGACAAGCAGCAGAAGGCAGTGTATACTACCGATAGCCGATAAAGGTCTAATCCAGCTCGACAGCAACATCCGAAAATCCTACACATTCAAGCAGTCATTCAAGGACTCGTTTTTAACTGTTCAATAAAATATAAAAATTTCACTGAGTTTCATCCACGTATCGCAAATTTGCTAATGACAAAACTAAGAAGCCAATAAATAACCTCATTAAGGTTCGTCAACTACTGAGTAGTAATTTCCAGCGTGACCAGGAAGTAATAGTGAGGGCATGAATACTAACCCAAGAGCCCATGAATACTAACCCCACCACTGGGCAGGGTGGCCCAGTGGTGGGGCAGGGTGGCCCAGTGGTGGGGCAGGGTGGCCCAGTGGTTAAAGTTCAGAGTACCAAGATTGGCGCAGAGAGGCGCGGGTTCGATCCCAGCTCCGTGCGCCAGTTTCTGGTCAGAATCGGCAAGGAGGCTGGGCGGTTAAGCACAGCAGAATTGTAGCAGCGACTTGTGAGTTCGAGACCGCAAAATGCTGTGAATGTTCTGCGATGTTAAGAATCGGCGACAGGCCTACGGCCTACTAAACGCTGAAACCGCTATTATTATTATTATAACCGCCTACAGACACATGAATTTCACTATCACTACGCGATTTCAAACTTCGATCGGCTCTCCTGATCGTTAAAAATTCAACTTAAAATAATGTTTAGGCATCAATGGATCTGCAGAAATGGTAAAAGAGCAGGAAAAATTTTTCTAACGCGAATGCTCTAGAGACCGAGATCATAGTTTTTGTAATAAGTGTACAGATTTAGTGATGAAATCCCATTCAAAGTTTGCTCAGCCGAAGTATCATTACATTATTTTTAATTAAGCATCACGGAGCATCTATTTACATAAGCAAGCAGCTGTTGGTATTGAAAAAATACATTCTATTTAATTCTAAATTATCGGTATTGAAATAATATAGAATTACGTGGTCTACAGGAAACCACATCCTTTAACACGAGAGAAGGCAGGATTCCTGGGGATAAAGCTCTCAGGTAGCGAAGGACTCATGAGTGACGAAAAAGAGTTCACTAATTTTTCCGTAAACTTTAAGAATCAATTTCCCGGGATTGCCCTTCATTAGAATCGTACTGGTCAGAATTTTAGCATAAAACATCTGTTGCCTGTATTTATTTTTTTATTTATATATATTTTTAGTTACTTTCAACTACGCGGTATGTTTAGACTTTCATCGTAGGTGCGACTCCCGCCAATGCAATTGAGGCTTTCTTATGCTGCGTGCCTCCATGGAAACCAACACTAATACTGCCATGTGAACTGATATAAATTAGAACACAAAAATTAGGAATAAATTCTCATTACGTTTGAAAATGTAACGCAATTAAATTAAATCTTAAAAAAACATTAGTTGAAAAAAAGCTGATTGAATGAAATTTGTTAAAAGTAGATTAATGGCCGGCAGTTCACACACAAAATACATGAATAACTATATAATTGTAACGATATAGCCAATGTATGAAACCATTCAGCTTTCAAGTTTCAGAAAATTACTCGAAGGCGTCGTATATTATTTACCGTTTGCAATAAGGGAAATCACACTGGGCCAAATCATGTTTTAAAAAAGTTAAAAATTTTAGCGCCCGGGTAAGTTTCACGCAAAATTCACAGTGGGTAAATCATAGAATAACAAAATTACGCCCACTATCAATGAATCTGTTCGCTTGATATGTAGTTACGCTCATATTTATTACCAAGCTATTACTTATTAAATCCGATAGTGAATTCGAGTGCGATCCAATAAAGTTCATTTAGCGTTACACTGCATGGTCAGCGATCCACATTATGACATATAATAATAATAATAGCGGTTTCAGCGTATATTAGGCCTTAGGCCTGTCGCCGATTCTTAACATCGCAGAACATCCATAGCTTGTTACGAGTCTCGAACTCGCAACTCACTGCTACAATTCTGCTTTGCTTAACCGCCCGGCCTCCTTGCCGATTCTGACCATAAACTGGCGCACAGAGCTGGGATCGAACCCGCGCCTCTCTGCTCTAATCTTGGTACTCTGAACTTTAACCACTGGGCCAGTTTGACATACTTAGATAGTTGATAGGGCCATGCTTGTGCATGATCCTTTACAACCGTAACACAAAAATTGAAATAATCTTGGGACAAACTCCAAGTTCACATAATGTGCAAAAATAATATAGCGTGTAAATAGAGCTGATATGCAGACGGATAGGTGTTTGGTTTGATAATGTGTGATTGATGTAGTGAAAACATTCCAGGTTGACTAACATTATCCCGGCAACCTACGGCTGCGACAAGATTTCGTAACGGTACTGCACTGCGAATGTTAATTCGCGTATAATTTATTCATTTATCTGATAAACTTGGGCACCGAGAACGACATATTTTTCATGGATTTACGAGCTTTAGTGACAGAGGAATCTCCCAACCCTGGAGAAAGAAAGCAGTTGCGTACACCGTGGTTCTTCCGCAAGTCTTGCCACATGCCAAAATAAATATTTGCGAAATTTTCCACAGATGGTTCGTTTACACGCGACCAGTTGTAGCAGTCAGCACTAACTGCTATAACAAACAACTGTTTGTTCCGGCCAGTTGCAGCGTACAACGCATTTCAATGCCGTACAGTTATAAACAAAACTAACTTCGAACACTAATAAAGTGGGAAAAAAAACATAGAAAATCAAGAGAATATATTATGTATCATTGGTATAAAAACATCACCGGGCATCGTTATATATTGCAACAGCATAAAAGGTGGAAGTCAGCACGCTTGAACAAATTTGCTGCATTGTTCAATGATCATTGAGTTACATCCGAAAAAAATTCTTCATGAAATACAAAAAATATGCTCAGTGCTGACGGAATAACATTGAAACAATAACAACATGTAGATAACCGTATACGGAATGATTGTAGAGGCACAAAATATTTGCACTTTATGCATAGTTTGTTTTTAAGCGTTGGTAAGAATTAACAGCGAAGGATCAGCAAAAGGTAAGGTGAAAAAAATATGCTCAGTGTTGACGGAATAACATTGAAACAATAACAACATGTATATAACCATATACGGAATGATTGTAGAGGCACAAAATATTTGCACTTTATGGATAATTTCTTTTTAAGCGTTGGTAAGAATAGCGGAGAATGATCAGCAAAAGGTAAGGTGCAAAAGTAGCAGCATAATGGCCTGTTCACAGACATGACCTCAGAAATTGGGCGGCCACATGCGAGAGTCTGGGTGCCATTCGTGCCAGATCTGGCCTTATGAGTCTACCAACGCAAAAGATCACGAAGTAACAAGCGTAATTCAATGTATTCTTAGTGATAAAAATGGTAATTATGTTGGTACACGATGATTGACACTCGCACGAAAAATGACTCAAAATTGCAAAATAATCCTAAATTTGATCTTCCTGTCTAATCATTCATACGAGAAGCTTCTAAAATAAATCAACTTGCGTGTCACATGGAATCACACGCGAAACTTGAGAAGCTTGAATCAGCTCTAGCAACACTAAATACTTTAACATCACGGAACTTGATCCCGTTTAACAGACCTGTGGCACGTCAGTAATTCATGAATTGCAAAATTTACGAGTCGCATAAAGCACCATTCGAAATTGCACTTTATTTGGGGATTAAAAGATAACGTGGAGGACACACAACAAATTGCGAATTACTGTATATATCTCATCTACAAATTATTTCACCTGGAAGCATCATATGAGATCCCGCACACGACTCTATAAAAAGAATTTTTTTCTAAAAAACCCTGAACACACGTTTTTTTCATGATTTAATAAAATTATACGCAACTTTTAAATATGATATTAAATGAATGCCTACGAGTCATACCGGTAATGTACGGAATGCATGAATTTTCGTAGCATATTTGATGTCTAGGCAGATTGATTAGTACCATGAAGTTAATCAGGCTAACGAGAAAATGATGTAATAACTACTAAATAAAACCACTCACAATCACTTATAATACTGTTGGTTTGTCTTCACTGTTTGACTAATTAAACGCTATGGTAACGATTATCTCTGTTGTAAATAACAAACTGCATTGAGACCACAAATGTTACCTTGAGCTACTTAACAACCCTATAAATAACTAAACAAAAAACATGTTCCTAACTCACTTTCTGAATACCGGAAACGTTGGCATCCAAAAAAATGAGATATTTATGATCAATTGTTAGCGAGGAAGTTCATTCCATAAGAATGTGTACAATCTATGATACAATAATGAATAAAAAATATTATAAGCGATTTAAATTTCTGACATACATGGAGAAAACTGTGCAACTAATTAGTTGCCAGGGAATAAATAATGGCGAGATAAATATACTTGAAAAAACAACATTGTAATAACTTAAAGTAGACAGGCTCGTTTGAACGAGACGGTCAATTGATCTAGGTACGTCTGATGATAACTCAGGAATGATTGAAGTTGAAGGGAACAACGTGAGCAAGTACGAGGTCGTAGCAGAATTTTCATTTCATTTTTAAGAAGAATGGGCAGCATAAATCACTGATTTCACTAAAAAATAACTACTGTAACTGCAAGGGAATGTCGTTTTCATATTCATGCATTTCATGAGATTTTGTTGAAATTTTGTAAGACGAAAATAGTTTCATTTCGTGTCAATGAATATCGCTATAGAACAGATTTTCACATAACATAATACCGGATTATAAGGAATTGGACAGCAAGAATTGTTTAATAAGAGTTTAATAAGTGAAAGGCACTTCCTTAAACTAAATTTGATTAATAAAATCTCGCAATTAATAAGATTACAGTTTTGAATTGGAATTTTTCTAAAGCAAGACAATTTCTCCTAAGCAGGCCACAATTGCAAATAAGGAAGCACATACTGATGTGTAATTAAGTTAAGAATTAAGAAGTGCAAATTAAGTTAAGGTCAGTGACGGTCCTGCGACTACAAGAGGCAAGGTGTACAAGGTAAAAATGTGTGCGTTTGATTTTGCGGGTAAAATAATTCAAAATAACTGAACATCATTTGAACAAAAATTGTGGCGAGTAACGATCATTATAAACGTAGATACTCTTAACAATAACGATAAGTTGCCAATTTTCTTGGTTGTTGCTAAGGCACAAAGGTATGCAAGTCGAGTTCACCACATCACCTGCACGTGGGATGGTCAACATAGTTGGAACTTCCCCACAATGCGCAAAACTAATTCAGTAAGTTCACACTAGACTTGACCACATGTGAGCAGATTTGATAGGGGTGGTTTCCAGGTTTTCATTATTATGAGAGAAGCTCTTCATAAATTAATGTAGTGCCTGTTTGGAGATTTGGTGCTGAGTTCTCTTTAATATTAATGTGTCAAGGACTACAGAGAATGGAATAATGTTGGGCATCAGCTGAGGTGTACATGGGCCCTGAAGGATGGGTTCCGAGGCCCGATAGATTCTTCACTGGTGCTGCTGTTCCCACTGCTCACGCCCCCAACACAGCTGAGGACATAATTCAATACATTATTTTAACATAGTTAGGTCATGCTGAGATACGCGCCGGAGTTATACACTCTAGGGCAAGACTATATATGCCAGCGATCATCAGTAACATTTACAATGAAATTACACTCAAGCAGCCAAGTAAAATATGATTTTTTGAAAAAAAGTAATAATGACTTTCACATGCTGAATAATACAACGTTGTCAAAATAACCAGATGATTTTGTTATGCTGCACGGTAAATTAATAAAAGCATCGAACCATTGCAGAGAAGTTATGACTAGGAATCATTTACTTAACAAGGATAACAATTACTGCTGGTCTCAAGGCTGCAATAATGACTGTCATGCTCACCTCAAGGCTGAAACATTGAGACTGTGTGGCTGAGAAAGAGACGGTTGAGTTATGAGGCGAGGAGTGGCCGAGGAGCTAAGACAAGGTGAAGAGCCGTACCATGTGGTGCTGGCGTAGAACTGACTCTGAGGCTCAGGCTGCTGCTGCGCACACGGCATCTGCAGGGGAACGTGAGATGTGCTCGGCGACGCGGAGCAAGGGAACAGTTCTGGCCGACCCAACTCGTGCTCTAGAGGATCCTGCAATGATGGAACTGGAGTGAGCTTCAAAAATGTTCTGGAAACTTATGTATTAATAAGTTTAATTAATTATATACAAAATTCATTAATTAAATAAAAATTTCACTAATTAAATAAAAAAGTTCATTATTTAAATAAAAAAATTGATTAAGTAAATAAAAAATTTCATTAATTAAGTAAAAAATTCATTAATTTAATAAAAAAAATTAATTAATTAAGTAAGAAATTTCATTAATTAAATAAAAAATGAAATTATTAATGTTCCTGAAACTTTTGTGTTATTAGTCATGAAAATTCATTAATAAGGCAAGAATTGCATTAAAATTAAAACAATTGGTTTATCACTCAGGAAAATAAGAATATTTTCCATTACAAATGGAATGTAAAGAAAACAATTTCAGTAACCACTTATAGTCATATATATTATATTATATATATATATAATTTATTATGTATATATATATATATTATATAGTCATATAACAATAGTCATATAGTCATAATTTCGAAATGCAATAAAACTACAATATAAATAATATAGAACCAATAGATTCTTGATAATTGAAAAAAACATATTCATGCTCTGACCTCATAATTTATACATAATACTGACCTTACCAGTGCGCCGTCGTATCTGCAAACGAAGGTGCAACAGATGGGCACTCAAGTTTTCATAACTGAAAAAAATCAGAAATACCCATTGGTTGACATATGAATTATGTATAGTTACAGTTAGTTTAGTTTAGTTTAGTGGCCAAATGTTTACTAGCCCTTCAGCTATTTAGCTATCTCGCACGGAAAGTCAATATGAACATCACCATAGAGGTGGAAGGTCTCAATTATTCATCACCCACAAGGGGCGGAAGGTATCAATTGTCCAGCCCGCTGAAGCTGGCTCGAAAGAAGCAGCGTTAGCATCTTAAAGAGACGAAGTGACAAGGAGGGACAGGTGAAAAGCAACAGAAACGAAGACACTCGAACAAGAGGTCGCTTACACGGGACGTCGGCCACCCGCACGAGAGAGAGAGAGAAGGGAAATGTAAGGAATCCTACCTACATAATAACTTAACCCCACAACTGAGACCTACAGTCAGACACCGCGAGCTCAGCGGTGGGGCGCTCAGGAACAATCCCCCTAGGAGCGCGAAATCCCATAGGACTTCTGACGAGCACAGACACGCGTCAGAAGTCCCCCCTGAGGGGATGTATAGTTACAGTAGTCTTTAGTTATGTAATATAAAATGGAAGGTATTATATTAACACAATTCCAACTAAATAATAATAAATGTATGAATTAATGGTGGTTCATCTCTATGATATAATCTTGTATACAAATAGTAACTTTGCCATCTGTGAACTGCCTGTACCACAAACCGGCATTTCATATCATTTGAAATTGACTGAAAATTGAAAAGCCATGAGCCAACATTTCAAGAAGATGGTCACACATGTTATTATGACATTAGAGTTATTAATTATTTGAACCTATTATCCAAATATTAAGGAATAACTGGGAAAGAGATGTTAATTAAATACTAACAACTATGTCAAGGACAAATTCCATTAAATGCTGCTTATGTACATATTGATCTTGAATATTATATACAATGACCTCCAAAGTTAGTAATATGTACATTTTGCAGAAGTTAGTATCAGAAGGCAGAATAAGCTTGTTTCAACACGGTTGGTTAATGACCAGAGAATTCGTCAAATTAAATTTTCAAAGTATTCTTCAGATGACATTAGTTGATCAAAATGATCAACTAATGTCATCTGAAGAATACTTTGAAAATTTAATTTGACGAATTCTCTGGTCATTAACCAACCGTGTTGAATTTTGCAGAAGTATGACTGACCTTGCTAGTCTGAGTTTGTGCAGCCAAGTATTTCTGATCATTTCAGAAGAGGCATAAAATAGATGGCTTTTACTGACATCATCCTGAAGAATAAACAGTGCAGAATTAGATGGCCACTTCATTTCTGAAGTATGATTGCAAGATTAGGATGGTATATCTTGATGATACATTTTTTAGCAATTGCAATGAAGCGGTCATTGCTGGCTTAGAAAACTGATTGAGGCAGTGGCCATTCTTCAGTGATATTTATTTCATTTTACCCCAATTTTTCTAGTATGGTATTACTGGCTTTGTGAAGACCAGTATCAATATCATCATTCTAGTTCTGTCTCAGCATTACGGTATTTGTTCAGTTATTTCAATAATTAGCACACCATATTTGTCAAATATCAGTTTATAGAAATAGGTTCTAGTTATAGCACACTGGTCCATTGTGTTAACTACGGTATTAAAATACATTTTTAATGAGATATCTAAGCTTATTTGCTTGGAGAAAATATATTAAAATTGCTTCAACTATAAAAATATACAAAAAATTAGAATAGGTACACATGATTTTATTTAAGACTCATGGCACTGTTGATAGATAAGATAGATAAATAGAAGCAATGATTACCCTCCATGTCAGGGCCAGGCCAAAGAGTTCACCACCAGGGCAGGCTCCTTGTATGTGAACATCAACATTTTCTAGCACCAGCACACCACTTGCCTGCAAGTATTTTATGCAGATACAAATTCAGCTAAATAAACTACACATAATAAAACTCAGCAAAAAATGCATTCATCACATCTGGCATATAGAGTAAAGAGAAGTAGATATTTATAGCTAATTTTCACAGAAAACATAGCATTTTAATAGAAGTTATAAATTGGAAGCATGCAAATTACATTTAATTCTAAAGTGTGAGAGAAATAATCAATACAACTGAGGCAATAAATCACAATAAATGCATTCAATGAGAACTGCTCAAACTTTAGATGCAATTGAGGCTTTTTCCTACAGAACAACATTATTTAGATTTATGAGGTAATTTAAACATGAAAGAGGAGATACAACTGACAGTAATCCATGATGGCAGTTACATACCTACATAGGTAGATACAGTGTCATACAGTGACAGACAAATTCTTATAACATACCTCTTCTTTGCTGACACAGCCTTGCTCATTCAGTCTGAAATAAAACAGCAGGTTTCCCACCAGCTTGAACCACTTCTCCTTATAACCTGAATGAGAAAGTAATGTTTTTTAAAGGTTATTAAAAACTGAATGCTGATAGAGTAGGTATTTAATTATGTGACCAATTGTTTTCTCAACGTACCATCATTCATCATGCATATAAAATTATGTAGTGCAATTGCTTCAAATATGAGTAGTTAGTTCAACACTGCTGTAGAATATCAATTGCATAGATGATAACATAACATCAAGACTTTATTTTGCAACTGCATAAATAACTGCTGATACAGAATAGAATGCCCCCAAAAATTTACATTCCTTTTTATCCTGACTAAACCAAACAAATCGATGACATTAATTCTAGACCAGGACTAATGTAGAACAACAAGCACACTAAGTAGTTGAAGCACTTTTTTAGCACAGTTATAAGTATAAGTGATTCACTTTTTAGGACCATTTTAATTTGTTTCTCAGAAATTGCTGGTAAGAATAAGTTCAAGTGATCATAATGGTGAAGAGTGAAGTAAGTTGGTCAAGATATGTTTTCAAAAATGTCAGTATTGTTCAAATCTGGAATGTACTTATCCATGTTTTCATGATGAAGCAGTTTAAAAGGATTTCAAAGCTTTTACAAGAATTAACCTCTACTTTACCTCTATTATATAACTCTATTTAAAAACATGTGTTGTTTGTTTAAGCAAATCTTGAAAATCATAGTTTTTTTCCCAGAATAGTGAGCAAAAATAAACATTTCATAGGTGGTTTTTGCAGATCAAGATGTAAAAGTTGCATATTAAATTACCCATATAAAACCATGCAAGAGCCATGAGAATTTGTAAAATTGTCTACTTAGTTTGGCATATTTATGCTCAGTTTGTAAATAAATATGGTAACTTACAGCCAATATGGCCAATGGCAAATTATTGAACCATTATGCAACATTCTACAATCAATGAAAAAGATAGACACTGTACTCATTTTTTACAGTGCATCAATCCATTACATGTGACCACATCCACACTTGCATATGAAATCTTATTGATGGTCAAGATAGTTTAATATTTACAGTATAGGTACCTAGTATACTTGAAGAGGTGACAATAATTCAACTTCAAGGACTTTACAGTTTGGTGCTCACAGAGACATAAGGGCTCCAACACAACTACTTCCTGTCACCTATTGTAGTAAATAATACTGAATTCCCATTAATATTAACTAATTAATAATAAATTTAAGAACTAATATTCATTTTGCAGAAAATACATAAAAAATAAATACCTGCATTATGTAGGTTTCTCCGCATACTTTTTGATTTAGGAGCTTTGTGCATGAGTCTACCCTCATGGTCTCCAGGGCCCTCAAGAACTTTTGTGAGGTGCTCAAAATTCATAAGCATTCCAATAGTTTAATAAGTAAATTTTCTCAGCAAACATCAATGAGATATTTCATTTTTGAATGCTTGATTATGCTATAGTGATGATCTAGCTCAATCTCTTCAGAATTTCTTTTCAAATTCATTTACCTATTACTAGATATTAGAATGAGGCAATGTGTCCATGTAGCCTCACAACTGTGGGAGTATTAGCAGTCCAATGGCTTTTGGAAAAAGGAGATAATGTTAAATTTATTACAACAGCAATAGATTATTAGCTAAACAAGAGCTACAAGCAGTCATATAACAAAAATTTCAATGGAGGAATGGGAGTAAAAAATATATACCTACATACTCAGTACTCACTGCATTCAGTGACAGTGAGCACATTTTCTGGCCAACAAAAAGGTGAAGTCACAGACAGACAAACGGACAGACAGACGGATGGACATGGCGAGCACAATAGTGCATTTTTTACCGTAAATGAGAAAATGTGCTAAAAAGGAAAGTGGGTTTAAGAATGTGAGTGGGTCAAATAACAAATGTGGGTCAAAAAACAATAGTGAGTTAAAGAACAAAAGTGAGTCATAGAATGAAAGCGAGTTATGGAACAAAAGTGTGTCTGTGTCATAAGATGAAAGTGAATCATTGAATGAAAGTGAGCAAAAAGAGGAAAGCGAGTCAGAGAACAAAAGTGAATCCAAGAACATAAATGTGTCATAGGTCAAAAGGGAATCAAAGAATGAGAGTGAGGCAAATAGCTAACACAAATAACAATTAACAAGAGTGAGGCAAATAACGAGTGAGTCTTTTTTTTTTCTTTTCAAATTTGCGGGAGCCTCTGAAGACTAGTCCAATGTGGCCCCACGACCAAGTTTTGAGTTATAGTTGTTAATCAATTTAATCAATCACTTAATTTTCTTTAATTGATCACTTTAATCACTCACTTAAGTCACTTTTACTATTTTAATTAATCACTTCAATTCATCACTTTAATTAATTGGCTCTCTACCAACTCATTGAAAATCCTACCTAACTTAAACTGCCTGCACAGCTCAAACTTTCCCTATCCCTAGCATCTGTTGAGGAGAACACTCCACGGCGGAGCCGTGGAACACGGCAGAGCCGCGAAACACGGCAGCGCCACAAAACACGGCAGCGCCACAAAACGCGGCAGAGTCGCAGAACACGGCAGAGTCGCAGAACACGGCAGAGTCGCAGAACATGGCAGAGTCGCAGAACAAGGCAGAGCCGCAAAACAGGTCAGAGCTGTGAAAGATCTTTCGTAATAATAACATTATTCATGAAATTAAGGGTTTCAAGCAATGTCTTAATACTAAGTTACGTAAAATGAACATTAAAAAAATAAATAAAATAAATAAATAAATGAATAAAATATAATGTACCTATATGTATAACAAAACAGGAAGGAATCAACAGTAAGAAAGAAAATAAAAGGAAAATA